ACTTGGAAACAAAGTCCAGTGGATTGTTTTTAATGTTCTTTTTTTTGGAATGACCATGCCTGTCTAATAAAAGATCATAAAGCTGATTTTAAATGGGACTTTGTAAATATTTTTTCAGTTGTTTTCAAAATATTGGTAAAACCCTGATTATCAGTAACTGCTTTCTTTTGCACACAGTGTGACATCACCTCTTCTCCCAATGCTCAAAACTTCCCACTAAGTCTTAAGGGATACAAAGTGAAACATCAGATCACTGATTAAACAAGAAGAACGTGTTTTTTCCCCCCCTCCTTCTGTTTAAAAGCCAAATACTTGATCAGTGGACAACCGACCACATGCACGCACCTGCCCTGAAACGCACTTGGGAATAAACAGTCAGATCTGAAAACCCCCTTTTGATTGCATTTGCCCTTTGAGAGCCTGTGTTCTCATCTTTCCAACTAACAAATATGCTAAAGATGCCCATATTTCATTGTTCTGTGGCAGAGTTTGTATTTGTGTTTAGATTTATTAAGAATTGTTACCTTTGTATTTTTAAAATGGCTTTTATGAAAAAAAAAAAAATCAAGATTTTCTAATAAAAATGCCTTTAAATCTTTTCTATATTGCCTCAGTTTATTTCCTACAGCTAGGTCACTTGAAACTATTTGAAAACACTCATCTATTATGTAACAGAGTAAAGCTGTTACGCATTTGTTTTTAATGCATTGATCTATTTGTGTATTTATGACTTGTCTGTTTGCAGAGCTCTCCCAATGATTACCTGTTAGCATGACTGCAGTTAATATCTGTGTAATTTATAGTGTGTTCAATATGCTAACCCCTGCTGCTGTTACTCTATTCTCTGTTTGATTGTTTGTTGAAAGCTGACTGGTCATGACAGCCAATACGCAGCTTCATTTATTAGTTTGTGTGATTGTGTTGCTGAGGTCTATTTGTGCGTATTGATCAAAGTCTGTCCCTGTGGGCGCAGCTTTAGTTACTGAATGACAGACCTGGAGCGTGTACAGAATGATACGGCTTTTCTCATGCCTGAGAAAATACCAAGTCTGTTTTCAGGCTTAAAAAAGACAGTTTTTTGTGCCGAACTGATCAAACGCCATAAAACTTGCTTAATAATGTCGCCTCTATGACCAAAGCCTTTGTTTCTTTCCTACCTGGTCAACAAGTTCAGCAAACATCCCTGCATATGGGAACAAACTCACCACTTCTAATAGAGTTATAAAAAAACAATCAGCCCTTTTGCATTATCAAGCATTGATTCTTCTTTTCATCCCAGTACATATCAAGTATTAATTGGAAATAGAGTAAAAAATGTTCTTCTCTGCAGGGAGGGCATACAGTATAGATCCAAAAGATCCATTAGACTCGCTCTAAATGAAAAAAAAATCATGCATTTTTTATGATACCTTGCTTGATATTTATACAAGTGTTTCAGAAAGGATGACATTTTAATATCATATATAATCAGAATGTTGTGTTTTTCTCCAACAGATGGAAAATGAAAGTTTTGGGAAAACTGTTGTCTCAAAGGGATTATACTTAGAAGGGAGTGGAACTAAGGAAAAGGGGATGTTGGGCCTCATCTTCTGCGCACAGTTGTATAAATTTCAGCCTCTGCAGAAATTCCCTTCGCTATTCTTTATTCATAGCTTTGCAAGGCGAATCAAGTGTGTTATTTGGCAAATAATCGCAATTACATCATATTCATTTCTGAGAGAAACATCCATCTTCCTCTTTTCTATTTCCAATCAAAACTTGACATCAATTGCTATGTGTGAAAAACTTTTACAGCAACATTTCCTTAGTGATCAGACATATCATTGAAGATAACATTCTGCCAGCTAAAGCTAAAATAATCCATGCTTAGATTCCCTTTATTTTCTCCTTTAAAGTTGACATGTAATGCTTTTAAATGCTTCCATTCAGTTGTGTTCTAAAAAAAGTGCAATGCTTTGGTTTGAATTCATTATTATTTTTGCTCCACAGGCCCCTCTTTTACCTCCACCATGAGGTCCATCTGAGAACAACACATTTAGTCTCTAAATAAAAATAAGATATTTTACATCCTGCCCCCCCTCATGCTCACAGAGTTCTATTTAACCGTTATTGTAGTTTGGCGGCAAAAATATGATAATCTTGCAGAGAAGAAAAGTTCCCAAATTTGGTTAAAAGATGTCCATCCAGCTTTTTATGTTTGACCCAGAATGAGAGCAAATAAATATAATAAATAAGATGAACCTGCAGAACCACGGCTTTAAATGAACGCATTATAGTGGGCGTGTTATGTCCACACAGTTGAAGTGATTGTTTACACCCACAGGAGTCTTTATTATACTACAATAACCAAACATTTACACTTGTCAACTTGCAGCTTTTAGTATTCTTGAGCTTGGACTGCAGTATCATTGTGACATATGAAAATCACCTTGTTTAGCAGTAATGAAGATTAAAGGTGTCATCACCCAGAACTTTTTCATTTTAAAACATGCATGTTGTTATTGAGCCTCAGTTATAACCTGCTAGACAATTCAAAGTGTGAAAATTACTACTTTTTTAAGTGTGTGGGCTTGTTTTTCAAACCCGAAATCCTCACAATGACATGAGCTTCACAAAATGTGATTTTGGTCCTCCTCCCTCATTTGTGAAGATTATCTTTTGCAACAATCAGTTACTCACCCGTATGCATTCGGTAAGTGATTCAGTTTGTGCAACAGACCTGGAAATGATGGTAAGTGAACCATGGCAAACTGCTAATGTTGCTGACACTACATCTAAATGAATGCGCATACACACAAATTCAAATCCCCCATTTAATTTGAAGA